TTTGGTTTAGAAGTCCCTGAATTCACATCTACATACCTAGTGGCCCACATGTCACAATTACAAATTAAATTAAAAAAATATTTCAGTAATATTGCATTATATAACATTATATGTTTCAAAAGGAAGTCAATGGAAATCTACACATTTACGTACATTAAGCTCAGTCTGATTCTGTCCACCATTACAACATAACTAAATTTTTTTAAACATTTATTTATTATTTATACAAGCACTGGGGTATAGTCCAGAGGCACGGGAGGGTGAGAGGATTCACCAGAGAGAGAGCAGGAAGCAGAACAGGCAGACTGACGAAATACACTGCAGAGGGGAGCAGCGGGCAAGACAGGAGAGGTCTGCCACACCATGTGGGTATCTCCTTGGCCAGCAGAGAATCAAACCGGCATTGCAGAGGGTGCACACAGCTTCACAGCACTGTGCTCAACCTGCTGTGTCACCGGGGAGGCCCCCATAACTAAAAATTTTAACACTGTTTTGTTAATACTTTTTATTTTCCCATTTCATAACATGAAATGGCAAAGTAATTTAGAATAATATTAGTATAAGTCCTATAACTTAGTTCTGGAGGAAACTGTATGAGGATACTTTATCATCACTATGAATGAACTGGGAGACCAGCACAGGTCTGTGAGTACAACAATCCAGATTACTGTTTGAGATGTTCCACATGAAAAATTCTAAATAAAATATCTTTTTTTTTTTCCTCCCACTTAGATGTGGTGGTAAGTTACTTTAAAAAAAAAAAAATTGTTGGGCCTCCCCTGTGGCATAGCAGGTTGAGTGCAGCACTGTGAAGCTGTCTGCAGCCTCTGCAGCATGGGTTCGATGCCCAGCTGGCCAGGGACTACCCACATGGCACAGTAGACCTCTCCTGTCTCGCCCGCTGCCACCCTCAGCAATGTATTTCGGTCCATCTGCCTGTTCTACTCCCCGCTCTGTCTCTGATGAATCCTCTCAACTTCCCATACCTCTGGTCTGTGCCCCAGTTCTTGTATAAAAATAAATCTTAAAATAAATAAATAAATAAATAAAAATATTTATTTAGTTATGCAACAAGAGCTGGGGTGTAGGCCCGAGGTGCAGAGGTGGAAGGTGAGAGGATCCACCAGAGACAGAGTGGGGAGCAAAACAGGTGGACCTACTGAAATACACTGCCGAGGGGAGCAGTGGGTGAGACAGGAGAGGTCCACTATGCCATGTGGGTCACCTCCCTGGCCAGGGAACAAACTCCGCTGCAGTAGCTGTGGATTTTTCATAGTGCTGAAACTTAACCCCTTGAGCCACCAAGGAGGCCCCTGGAGGTAAGATATTTTTAATGGCTAATATAGGTCATAAGTAAACTATCAAGGATTATTATTATTTGAGATCATTAAACTGTAAATCCCTATCCAATACTAATCTATTTGTTCAGTAAATATTTGCAATGCTAACTATTATGGTAGATTTACTTCAGAGCTGCTATAAAATCTAAAACTTCTTTCACTCTGGACATGAAAGTATAGCCTCCAGCACTTGCATTCATTAAAGGAAGCATCCTGTTTACAAATTGCTCCTGCTATAGAGAAAGGCTTCAGGTTTTCAAAAAGTTCAGTTTTATAACCAATTATTACCTTGGGTCATGCACACTATCGTGATTGTAGGCCAGATTCTTTTCTGCTTATTTTACCCAGTTTTGGATCCCCTGCTTCTACAAGGTTTCAGACACTTATTAAGCACTCTGTGAAAGTTCATTCAGTGAAGGAAGGTTATACATCCATGAAAACAGCATCATTTACATTCTGTCTTAAATGATGCAGGTGGTTAGTTAAGGGTCCTTCAGGCAAATGACTGCATCACAGCTATCCCTAGACTTACAATTACAGACTTAGTATTGTTCCACTCAAGATCTAATGAAGTTTTGGGAGCAGAATGGGACTTTATTTCAATTTCAACACAAATAGATGTGTACACATGGAAAACTACATTTTTCATATTAAAAACACATTTAGATTCTTTGGTTTTTAAAAATTATTGTTAATGGATGTAGAAATCTACCATATGTACTTTGCCATCTATTGAGATGAGTATAGGCTTTTTATTTTAATTTACTAACCAGAAAAATTAGGTTTTCTTGAATATTTGAGCATCATTCCATCCTCTACTTGGTTATGGCTTATCATTCAATTGATAACTCATTGCATAGTATTTATTACAATTTGAATGAAAAAATCTTGTTATTTGAGTGAAATTTATTTCAACATATAAGCTCTTTAATTATGATATTATATCAGTCTCCATAAAAAAAAAAGCATTCAGAAAACACCTCTAGCATGACTGCTGGTTGGAAGGGGCCTGGCATGGGCTAACTTCCCAGCTGGCCACTGGGTCCTCCAGAAGCCTTCTGCCCTTTTCAAGAAGTCTTAAGATATTTCCCTGTTCTATGGGGTGTTAGTGACTTTTTTTCTGGTCGCTAGGTGGCGCCAGAGATCTCTCCTATTGTCCTTGGGGGGCTGTTTTTCAACTCCCTCACCCCCGTGGGACAGGGAACAGAGAGCGAGAATGGTAGGGTAAACCTCAACGACTTTGGGGTGCTGTGTCTGCCTTGTGCCCCACCGTCGTGGAGAACCCACACCCAGAATTTCGTGCCCCGGGTCTCAGTTCAAAGCCCTCAGGTCCAGGACTTTGCCCAGTTCAGTGGCGCGGGAATGGCGCCTTTTGCACCCAGCTCCCGTGCCTGGGCGCCTGGTTCCTGCTCACTTAGGGAGGGACTTTAACCCCTGTGAGGGCCTCCTTGTCTCCCCGCAAGCCTAGGTCGCAGGCGCGGGGACCTGGGCAGCCGCGATCCCGGTCCGAGTTTGCTTTTCAAGTGCGCCAAGTGCGCCCGCAAGCTTACTGGCAGCCTGGGGCTGTGTGCGCGTCTCCGGGGGTCTTGTTCTTCTCTAATGGCGCCCGGAGCCGTTCGCTCACCGCCGGGGCGGATCCTGCAGGGTTCTCCACAGCTCCCTTTCACGGGGTGTGGTGGCTGCAATAGTTCCTTTCCACTCACAGTCTCGCTTGCTGCGTAGTTTGTTCTTGTTGGTCGTTTTGGTTTGTTGTTTTCCTCCTCTCTGCCGGTCGGAGAGTGCCGCCTCTGTGGGCGGGGGAGGGGAGCAGGGTTCTGCGCTTCCCTCCCTTCTGGTCCTCTTTTATGGCAACTTTCTTCTTTGGGCAGTTTGCTGGCGTCACCCGTTTATCATCCGTGTCCCACTTCTCACTGGGACCTGCCGCTTTTCCTCCCTATTAACTTTTTTTAATGGGAGATCTTACTCGCAGAGTCTCCTTGCCGCCATGTTGCTCTGCCCTTTCCATTTACATTTTAAATCTTTATACTTTATATATGCCACTAAGACAACTTTAATTATTTTTTTTAAGATTGGTTTATTTTTGCATAGAAGAACTGGGATATAGGCCAGAAGTGCTGGGGGTGAGAGGATTCACCAAAGACAGAGTGGGGAGCGGAATAGACAGATCCACTGAAATACACTGCTGAGGGGAGCAGTGGGTGAGACAGGAGTTGTCTGTTGTGCCATATGTGGGTGAGTTCCCAGGCTGGGTTCAAATGCAGATGGTAGCAGAGATAGTGCTGAGACTCAATCCCCAGGCCACCAGGGAGGCCCAAAACAACTTTAATTCTTATCTTACCTCACATTGAACATTTTCAAGAATTTAGAAAGCAGTAATTGTTACAAAATTTACCTTGGTAACATAGTTCATCTTACCTCACTTGTAATCAATTTTTCATAGATAAAACTTGGTTTAGAATATCTCTAAAGTTCATATCAAATATAAAGTTGCATCTTTTAAAATTAAGTCTGATAATTTATATGCCAATCCTTACATATCACACATGTACATACACACACAATATTCACATTACACTGATAGCCCCCTGTTACAGTGAGCTATTGCTATGTAACAAAACATAGCACAATAGTGTAGTTTGGGCAAGATTCAGGGTTGTGGGGATGACTGTTTCACATCATTTGCTCAGGTGGCTGTTGTTATTACCCTTCTGTACCTTTAGGGAAGAGCAGTCTAGTGAACTCCCATCTCCATTCTAAAGCACACACAAAATTCTTCTCAAAAAAAAAAATGGGGTTATAGAAAAAAGAAATTTACATTTGACACTTATAGATTTGCATGAATATAGGATGAAGAATATTTAGAAAGAAGAAAAAGATCTAAAGGTTGTAGAAATTATCAAGGCCACTTAGAAAATCAAAAGACTGCAGGGGCTAGAAATAAACACAGCTCAATTCAGAAGTCTGCCTATTTGCCTACAAAATACTTATAGAAATTGAGCATCTATAAGTGAAACGACCAGTTACTTCTGAATTAACATATTGAAACCCAGGAATAATTTCCCTTTGAATTTCTGTATCCAGCAGTTGAAAGTAGATCGATCTAAATTTATTTCAAATCCTAAGAGAAATATATCATTAAAAAATATGTGAAAGAGATCAGCTTAGCTGTCATTTCCTGTGGCATTAACTTGGAAAACAGTTCATTTCCATATACCTTTTTTAACCCTGTAGATATTTTAGATATTTAACTTTAATACATGTTAAAACACTACACCCTGTAATACAGTTTTTTTCATTTTACATGGACGAAGGCTTTAATACATAGACGAACAAACAGCAAAAAAAAACACAGCATTGAATTGGCATTTCACCCCCAGGAAAATATTTAAATTCAGTTTTCAATTAGGCAGCTAATTATACAATGAGGCCAGTCTAACAGCAAGCCTTTTTCAGACTAAGGCTGGATGGGTTCTGTTAACTCAGTTAATCTATCATACTACATCTCATTTTGGCTCTCTGGCACTTAAGATAATGTTGCAGAAAAGAATATGAACTGTTTGCCTTCAGCTTAAATACTGAGTCACTGGGTTAGTCCAATGAATACCCACACACAGCATGATTCATTATCTTGTGACTGTTAACATTTTTTTTTTAACAAACCTCAAGACTTTGTTGCTCTATGATTAGTAACTCTTCAAAGGCATTTTTCCCAGCCTTCCATAAAGGCTGTTTACAGCAACACAACATGATTCTGGAAAATAAGATAAATCTTATTTGCATGATTTAGCCATGAAGTTTTTGACTACCTAGTGAGTATTAAGTTTTGTCCTGAGGGATATGTAAATTATATTTATCACACTCAAGAGCTGAAAATTGAAGATACTACAAATCCACATGATAGTGGAGAACAATAAGCAAGCTTTGAATTGAACAGTAAGATAATGTATGTAATAAATATAAATTTTAAAGGCCAGTGATAAATGTGAGGATATTTCAAAATTTCTGAGAGATTAAGAGACTTGAATGAGATCCCACACGATGCACAAACTTTGGAAAGGAGAAGCATATGTAGAAAGCATCATAGGCATAAGCAGGATTCCTTTGCATTGATTTAAAGAGAAAAAATTATTTGAAATAATAGATAATGATTAAAAGACTATTTATTTATATTTTAAAATTTATGATTTAAATATTTGTTCAAAGCAAAGAAAAACAAGTTAAAAAATAAAACTGCAGATTCTCAAGTTATTTAGAGTTTAGTTTAAATTAATGTTCATATTTTTTTAATTTAATTTAACCAGGATTTATTGAACACCTATCAAATGCCAAGATGCAAGTTTTAAGAATAAATAGGTGATATTTCCTTTTATTAATAAACAGACTTCTCAGGAAGAGATGGCTTAGGGCTCGAAGGATACGTTCAATTTTGAACGCATCATATGTCAGTTATCTTGGCAAAGTTCAAGTAGAAAAATTGAGTTGAAAATCAGATCTACACATTGAGATTGGGATGGAGGTCAAGACCAGGAAATTGTGGGAAGAGATGAGATCACCAGTGGGTTATGAGAATATTTCTAAATGCCTGTAGACCTGGATATGAATGAAAGAAGAAAGGATTAAGATAGAAGCAGTTTCAAAGCAGAGATTCATAATGCAAATATGTGCCTATAAACTATCATCATATGGCCAAAGTATCTAGAAAATGAATATTTTCATTATCTGTTTACTTCATGACTAAAAACATCATAGTAGAATGTAATAGATTGAGTGGAAAGTAGAACTGGGGCATCGTTGTATTGTACTGAATTGTGTCATTGCATTGTGCTGTACTGTAATATTGCTGTAGTGTGTTAAGTTGTGTTGAAATTATTATTAGGAGTGAAATTAGGGCACCTGGCTAATAAGAGGATACCCATGAAAAAGATATAAGGTCTGCAGATAACATCTTAGGCCAGAGATCACAAATGTCAGAATTAGACTTGACATATGAAAGCAGAAAATTGTAGGATTTCTTTTACATATTTGAACTCACTAATGATAAACATGAGACAGTCTAACATTTTCTGAATCCCTACATTCAACTATATTATTCTTGCTTGCTGATAGTCCCTTCAAAAATTTAGGTGAAGTGCTTGCTAGTTACTTTGCCATTTGGCAACTGATCATTCAAAATCATCAATCTAATTTTTTATTTAAATTTTTTATATAAGTGTGTACATACACACATACAAACATATCATTCTCTTTCCAACAGAATGAGCCCTGGTAGATTTAGCAGCTTGGATGTTGGGGAGCCTCTACCTTTCCTCCCTATTCTCTGAGCTCCACCTTGACTATTGAATTGAGGAGAAAAATATTTATCCTTTGGCTTGACCTGTGGCAAAGGCTAAGTTCTCTCCCAGTTTGTCCAAATATTGTCCCAACCCATGTTATTATTAAGTCCACACTTTCATCTTCCATCCATGATTTCCAAGTGTAGGACCTAAAGGCAAGTTTGGCATTAACTTTGGACCGTTTGAAAACCATAACAAAGAGGGAATGTTATTTCTTTCCTCACTATTCTCTACATGTTCTCTTCTTTGCACACTCCCTCCCCAGGCCTTTTTTGTGACCTATTTCAGCAACAAAAGTCAAATTATCAATAAAATGTCCAAAGGTCAAATGCATTTTCTACCTGGTAACAACATGTTAACATACTGTTTTTGTAGGATTCCACATTTTACATATGATTACTCTGTGTCTGTTCTCTATTTGGTGAGGGAAGCCATATACTTTGCCTCTTCATATAGAAGTGAAGGGAGTAGCTTTTAAAGAATGCTGCACTCTATGAAAAGACCACACATATCTCTCCTCAGTTTTCTAATTTTATTAGCTAGGTTGGGAGAGGTGATAGTTATAGGATGGTTTCTCCAATGGCAACCTGAGTAAGCTCTACTGAAGACAGCCCATACAACAGCGGATAGGTCTCTGAAGGTAGATGGGGGCTTCTTTGGACCTTGTGCTTTGGGCCTGAACACTAGCTTTAAGAGAGCAGAAAATTTCAACTCAGAAAATAACATGACTTTACATGGGGATGAGTAAAGATACAGATTTTGAGGAGGAAGGAAGAAATCAAGGGAGTAGGTATGTAATCCATTTTGTTTCTGTAGGGAGCAAAAGCCTATGTTACACTGGAGATAGAGATAGACATTTAACTTTTTAAAGTAAAAATTTGTACTTTTACTACAAAATGGGGAAAGGTGAAATTTAAAATTAATATTATACACTTTAAGGATCCATCTGTTTTGAGAAGTCATACTCTCAACTCTAGTAAGCATATTCATATAGTTTTCTTTACTAGCATAGGTTTAGTGTCTGGGTTTGGTTCTTATTAGAAACTCTGAAGAACAGGTGTTGCTGAAGGCCATGGGGACCACAGGCATCAAAGGAAACTGGGGAGTATGTTTCAAATCATTCACCTCTTTGTTAACCTCCTTGAGTCAGATGCTTAGAAAACAAATCTTGAGAACTAGTTGTTGTAAAAAATTGAACATAACTTAAAATCAAGAAGAGAGTTTTGTGTTAATCCAGTGTCCTCAAATTGAAAAGGAGAAGAGCTGTAGGTGAGATATAAGCACACCCAGAACTATGAAAAGGGAGACAAACAAAGGTAAATGTGTAAGCGAGTAATAGGGAGTTAATTCAGGAGAAAAGTGAAAAGTAGTTCCATGAACCAGCAAATGGGGACGGATGAGAAACCCTAAATAAAACATTTCTTATTGTTTCTATCAGATATGTTGGGTTTGAACCACCCATCAAACATCCAGGTGGATATTTCCTGTTGGATATAGGAATCCAAACTTTAGGGAAAGGTTGAGTTTGGATTTGGAAATACATAGGCATAAGAATTAAAAATTGAGAGTAGCTGAGATTTTCCAAAGAAACTATATGAGCAGAAAGATCAATGGGTAAATAATGAAAAAATAATTCTTTTTATTTTACCAGTATAGCTGCATTTAATCATGTTATTTAAATCAACATAAAACAATTTGATTAACAGTAATATTACTTTTCTTCCAGAAATTTCCCCTAATCACAGGAGTACAAATACTACAGTATGCACAGATTTATTATTTTTTATCTCCTTGTACGTATTGTCTTTTATGAGAATTTTTCTATACAGGAATAATAAGAGGATAGTTTGGTGACTGACACAGATGCCTGAGATTCTAAGAATCAAACACCTGAGTAATTTTAATGGCAACTACTTCTAACCAACCAATAGCAAATATTTGCTGAGTACTTACAAGGTGACAGGTACAGTAAGCACCCAAGAAAACAGAGAAGAAATTTGTTCTGAATCTCACTATTACAAGCCCCAATGCTCAAGGCAATCTTCAGTTCATTGGAAAAAATAATTCTTAAGGAGGTTGGAAGGAGTGGAGGAGGGGAAGAAGACTTGATGGAATCTTAAGAAAAAAAAAAGCAAACAGGAGAGGCAAGAATCAAGACAGAGAAAGTACAGATTTTTAAAAGTATTTAACGATTGCAGTACTTTTGAAAAATAATGTATAAGCTTATTAAATTTAAAGTATGTGATCTGTTGCCTCAGCTAAATTTTAATTTTCCAAACTAATTTCTTTTTCCTTGCTATATAAATCTTAAAAATCATCATTTATGATAAACATTTAAATATTTAAAAATTAAACATAAACTATGTCAGTTTTAAGAGCTTTCAAAGTATCTTTAATATGAGCTTACCATTTTGAATATAAAATCAGAGAGCTACAGAAAGTTGAGATAGACCTGCAAAGGAGAAATTATTTGTACTTTAAGCTTAAATTTTAAGATTATGGGACTTAGATCCTCTATCTAATGAAATGTATTCCTCCTGACAAGGTAAATGAATTGGAAGGGCAAATTTACTTTTGTAATCCATTTATAACATACACAAAACTTACATTATCCTGAAGGCTCTAGCCTATCTCATGCACATACATCACTTCAGAGTGTACTAAAATATTCTAGTCCTGCCCTTCACTATGTTGATTGTTTCCTGGCTCTGAGCCTCACAGGGATCTACTGACCTCCCCCTATAACCTGAGTCTTTCTGTGATAAAGTGAACATTAAAAAAAAAGTATTTTTGGTCTCTCTGAAGTTGCTTATGTTCATCCTTTAAAGTGCTCTCTTCATGAGCAATATTCTATCATTCAAGTTATTTGTTTGGATTTGCTTCTGCCCCACACAGATGTCTATGATAGCAGGGTTACCCATATCAGCTCTCCTTCAGCATCCCCTCCACTCAAATCCCTACCACAGATAGGTGGAGTTGGCTTGTCCCCTCTCCAGTGAGGTAACATAACTGGGGTTATTTAAATTGCTCTGACCTTTGGAATATAGAGGATGGAAGGGATGGACTTTTAATTAAGCAAGACCTTAGAAGAATCTTCTATCAAAGCACTATAATTTTATCTTTCATTCTCTCTGGCTAAAAAGTCCTCAGTTAAAAATAAATTAAACTCAATAATTTTATTCACCTAATAATTAAGTTAACTCATCTAGTTCTTAACAATTCCATGAAGTAGCACTATCACTTGTACTCAGTCCTTAGATGTGGTGATGGAGTCACTGAGGCCCAAAGTCATGGAGTTGGTAATAGTGTCAGGACTCAGGACATGGTCTTTTTTTCCAGCATGAAATGCTGTCTCCTGTACAACAAATCTGAACGAGGATGAAGAGAGTAGAAGAGACTAATGTCTTAAGTCACGTCTTTATACATTTACATAGCCCTGCCCATTTATGCTCATAATCTTGTGTTAGGAAAAATCTAAATTCCCTCCCACAACTCTGAGCCACTGGGAGAATATAAAGAATAAACTATTAGTCTTAATTCTCAATATTGTGACTATTCTGTGTTGTTATTAGATTTTTTAATACTTAATTTTTGTTTAGGTAACTAATTTATAATAGTGTATAAATTTTAGGGGTACAGTTTCACCTTTCTTCAAATGTGGGGTTATTCTGTTTTTCTTAGTCATTTTAAGAATTTTATTGCAAAGCTGAATGGGCCTTGAAGCAACCCAGAGAGATTTCCTCTTAGATGAAGATCTTCTATTAAAAACTCTTGTTGAAATGAGTGACAGCATCAGAAATTGTGTTTCTCAGAGATTTACCTGACAGTAGTTTATGAGATGTGTTGAAATGAGGAGATAAGGGTTTCAAAAATAGCATGCTCATTTATGACTGATGGACACTGTTATCAAAATCCCTTCTCTCAAAAAAAAAAAAAAAAAAAAAAGGCTGTTTATAGAAACTTCTTAGAATTTGCCTTGATAACTCCAAGTAATATCTGTCTGGATAAGAAAAAAAAATGTGACTAGTTAATGCCGCTGACTTATTTAACTAATACCACTCAATCGGGAAACTTACCTAATAAATAAAGCCTTGCAGAATTTTTAGTGTTTGATATGCTTCTAGCTCAACTTCTATCTGGGCATAAAAAAATGTGGGATAACATTATTCACAGATTTAATCTAGCCTGAAACCCTGGTATGTCTTTGATCTATGCATTTGCATTCTCTGACAAAAAGTGCAATAAAGAATATTGCAAAGACTCACAAAAGACCATAATGACTGAAGACAGTCCTTGGTAAGAAGTGACTGTCCTTAGAAGAATGCAGAACCGCAAATCCATAGTGACATGGGATGTACCATACAGCCTCTCTATGAATAACAGTAACACAGTAGTTAGTTTATGCAAACTGACTCAATGACACTATAGCAAACTGGTAGTTTTTATAACTGACAATGTTGAGTCTTTTATGCATTTAACATTTATTTAACGCATCTCTTCCCACTATAAAATTGCAGTATTTCCCCTTATTGTTGGTTCCTGAAAGTGATAGGAGGGCTATTTAACAAACACACTTCTTTACAACTTATGAAATAACTTCTTATGATTGCAATAGAAAGAAAGCCTTTGGAAAAAATTTTCCCCTCTTTGCACAGACTGCTGCCAAGAGGAAATGAATAGTGTCTTTGAGATATTCACAAACATCCGGTGCGGATGGGGAAGCTCAGTTAGAGAGCCAGGATTTATTCTATTTTCTGTATTTGAACTGACTCTCTGCTATAGATTCTGACTGCTGCACCAGCTGTTGGAATATTTCTCCTCCCCTTCCTTCTTTCTCCCTGCTATGCTCTGGCTTGTTTCTTATTCTGGAACCTGGGGATATTAAGGTGTGAAACACGACCAGGACCCTCAGTTGCCATCCCTGGTTCAGCACAAGGGGAGCAGTGGAGCACAGTGGAGCAGATCAGAAATAAGAATATGCTTCCCCAAAGGTCTTCTCTACTAGTAAGTACTCATGATCCCCAAGAAAAACTCAGGTGAGACTAACAATTATCTTCTGCAATGTCCTCCAGATAAGTGGAAAACTTTGTTCGCCCTTTAGAAAAGACCGGCCATTTGATAAAGTATAATATATTTTGTTTCACCAGACCCCACTCCGGTCATCTCCTGGCACACACAGAGTGAAAAAGAATGAACCTGTCTGCATCATGCATTCCCTCACCGGATGGATGTGACATACAACCTACAAGAGCTTTGTATGCTGTGCTAATTACCCGAATACACTTCTCTAAGAATACAAACATTCAAATGTGATTGTGCTCACATTTGTTTTCCAACTTAATATATGTGTAATGAACAATCCCCATCAAGTTTCCATAATGACAGTCATTCTATTTATCTCCAGTGCACCTCCAGTCTCACATATCATTGGAAAATAATGATGTTCCCTGTGCTTGCTCTGCAGCTCCGGGGGCACTCTCCACTTATTCTAAGCCAAGCTAATCCTTAAGATTTAGCTGAATTCCCTTTTCTCCTTTCCAACTGAGTTGCTGGTTTATTTTCCAATGATTTTTATCCTCTTTTGTAAATTGGAAGCTTCTACTCTAGTTAGCTTCTTCAAACACCAAACAACCCCTTCTATCATACACAATTTCCAGCATCCAGGTATATGTTTTTTTCTAGTTTTCTGCATCCTTTAGCCAGTTTTCAATGTCATGAAAGTATTATTGTCATAAAGACATGAACTGGTAAACTGGCAGACCAGGATGAACTGAGAACCAACACAACTGACATATATGATTGTGGTTAAGCCAGTGGAGAGTAGAGGAAGAGATGAAGATTTGAGAAAATAAAGGCTAAATTCCCTCCCTTTTGGTCACATTGTACAATAACTCCTAAAATTTGAGCCACACTACTCTTTAACCCTACATTTGCCTTTGCTCCCACTACTTAAATTCTTCCTTCTCCCCTCATGGTTCCCAAGACTAATTGGAAGTTGTAAAATTTCCTAACTTGAGTCAGTAAATAGGGTTTCAGAGTTGGAGCAACATATGAATAGAGAGACAGTGAAGGCATTAGCAAAACCCAAGGAACAGGCATACTCTGGAGCCATTTACCCATATCAGTAAATCTACTCAGTCTATAAAGTTAGATTGCTGTCAGCGAGGGGTCCCCCAACCTACCTGTCACTCTATGATGTGGATTTTCTCTCAAAACAACTATAAATGTGATGAGGTAGAAGTTCGCACATTTAGTGTACAAAGGACCTTCTAGTGATTTTGGTCCCTCTTCCATTTCCATTCTGCTACATTAGATTAACATGAAATGAAAAGAAAGAAGTATTATCAGAATAGAAAGAAAAGTAATCAGAAAATTAATTAGAAGTTTAGTTTTTATCATCTTTGTCAGGAAAAAAAAACAAAGAGAGACAATCTTACAGTTAATTGTTACTCAGGGGCTAGTTTATGATCAGATATTTTTGAGATCTAAATTAAAATTGAGAGCTGGATTAACTTACTCTGGGAGAGAAGGAATGAATCATTAAAAAGCAGATCTAGGGAAAGTCGGCAAGAATAGGAGGACAGAGACCAGTGAGTGAGAACTCACTCTGAGGATTCTGAAGAAGACTGAAGATACTGAAGAGGTTCCTGGACCCCACAAGGACCAAGTATGTCCATATGGCCTTTCTGACTACAGGTATTATATAAATACAACTCTCCATATTATCCACAAAGTCTTCTGCTTTTATCTCAAATGTGACTTTTGAGATAAATTCCAAGAAACAAATATGATTTTTTAAGAAATAAACAGCTTTAGGCTTCAAGCTCTCGTTGAGACATTTCATTTTCATTAAACACTGCAGTGTACACATATCACCTAAGTATCATGTTTATATACACTTATTAATCATCTATATAGAAGATGATTAATTACACTGATAAGTACTGATACACACAGATAGGTACTGTACAAAGTATCTTAGAAAAGGATTGTTGTGCAGTTTCCCTTACTGCTTTGTCTCTGGAAATCTTTATAGACCACATTTTAGTTTTTCAGACTGGAAATGATAACCAGTTATCCTGAGCTCTGCCACAATCAATGTGAACATGAGTCGCTACCAGCTCACACAGGCAAAATCACAAAGAAAAAAAAAAAATCTATAATAACAAGCTAAATACACTCTTCCTGTGTGAGTTGTGTTGTTTAAGCTTCCTTTATATATATGAGGAGCTTCTACCTTCATATCCAATTTTTCATTCACATGAATTTTTATTTTTCTTACTGGGATAAGTTTCTGTTTTGATTCTATGAAATGTCCCACACTTTTCAAAATGTCAAATAATGGAAATGATAGGAATTATAGGAAATGTGAATATACTTAAGTCAAACAGGGTATGAACTAAATGCAAGTTTCACCAAGTCCTAACTTGCAATTTCTTGCAATTATTTATCCTCAGGCTCATAGCTATGAAAGGAGATAACAACATCTACCAAGAAGTTTGCCAGGAGGACTAAATGATATATTAAAAACATATAACTGACATCTAATCAGGCCTACATAAATGAAAATCATTTTTATTGCCAAAGATTATGTATGTCTTAGACTCCATATCTTGAGAGTTTTCTGCATAAAATTTAGATTCGAGTAAAGTTTAAACAAGAAAGTTACACATTTCTTTTTTAACCAAGGATCTTATGAGCCTCATACCCTGTTATGCCACACTCTCTCGTGCCTAACTCTGGAGATAAAATGAATAAACATATTTCAAATAGTTCAAACTTAACTAGGGAAACAGACACAAACAAATGCAACATACTGTGTTATACACAAGTCAATCAATACATAAGATATGCTTGTGACTGACATGAAGGTTGTTCAGTCTGTCTTCACCAAAAAAGTGACAAGTGTTTTTCTCTTAAAGGATGAGTGAAGCTTCTCCAGATATAAGCAAATATACATGGAAATATCTGAAATACAGAAATGTCTCACAGTTATATGAGGCTTGAATAACCTAAATGATACAGAATATGGAAATGCGTGCATTGACATTGAGCAGACAACATGTAAAATAGTGGACTACCTTGAGATATGAAGCTTAATGAACCATGAATGGTTCAGAATACATAATGTTGGTGTGACCTTGATTTATAAAACTAACTCACCCTATTGGCAATCACTTATATATCCCCATTCCCTGAGCCAGCACTACAAATAATGAAATGTACTCTACGTTCAGCTTCCTTGAAACTCATCAACTCACTTGCGTGTATTAAATCATGAAAGCAGCTACCAAATTCCCTGAAGTTGCTTGCTTCTTAGTATCCATTTTCCTTTCTACAAATAATAATGCCTATTGGAGAGAAACTATCACTTCTCCATTATTACTTATATATTGTTGATTGTAGTGTCTAGGTTTTACTGGCACGGTTCATTCTCTGAATCACAGTTCATTTTCTGAATCACAGAGGTTAGGAAAGAGTCTCAACATATTGATGCATTTATTGGATGAATTCACAACTGAATGGATGAATTAAGACTTTAGTCAATGGGCACATTATATTTTCCCAACTATCACTGTCTAATGATTTAATCCAGTCCTTTAAGTGTATTCTTAGAACAATCACTAGGGATGTGAGACAACATATTTTTATCTCCAATGGGTGTGAAGAGAATGTGAGGGCTGGTGCTAGCTACCATTTTATATCCATGAGGGACATCATTCTGAGCTTTGAGATATCCATGGGACAATGGGTAGTATAAAAGAGAACTTATAATCATTAGAATTGCAGTTTTTAATGAAAATGAAATATTTGTTTACATTAGCCAACAATACTCCAGATTTATTAATGCAATTTAAGTTAAATTGTCAATCAGAAAGAATACTCACTGATGGAAACCATCATCATTTTTGTCAACTAGTTGCAATTTTGTTTATGAGTTTTAATTTCCCAACTTTTGAGATCTTTTTAGTTGGTAGAAATCCAGAGTACTTTTTATCAACTTTCCAGCAGTTTCAAAAAATCAGGATAATCCAGGAATAAGCATCCATGTAACAGAGAGGAGTAAGCACAATGCTTTCTGATGCACATTGATTCTTTATTTTCCCCTTCATTTTATTAATTTTCTTCTTTAGTTCAGAAAGTCAGTTTCCATTCCCATAGATCTCCCAATGATTTTTCTGTCCTTAGCTCTGTCCTCATAGGAATGGCATATTTTTCCAATTTCATTTTTTATTTATTTCATAGAGATATGTAGCTCACATGTAGAAACACACACATATTTTGTGCCTTTTGGTTAACTACTAAATTCATTCTTAGCTTGTCAGAGAAACCATTTTGAAAATAGATTTTTAAATACAGTAAATTATTTTGAAAAATGATTTGGAGTAGTTCAACTTCCCAAAGATAAATCTCAGGATTTCACAAACAAATCAGGCATGAATAACAAATATTCAAACAAAATAAAATATGCATAACATTGAAAACATACTGTCCATATGTTAGCTTCTGTTTTTATTTTCTTCCTGAATCAGAAAGTGCTTCAGGGCTATCAAAAATGTTAATTAGCATTTCACTGTTAATTTAAAGATGAGTTTTTTTTTTTTCTAAAAATTAGCTTAATTGATCAGTTGTTTTTTTCTTTAAAGATTTATTTATTTATTTATTTATAAAAGCACTGGGTACAGTCAGAAGCGCGGGAGGGAGAGAGAATTCACCAGAGCCAGAGCGGGGAGCAGAGCAGGCAGAAAGACCGAAGTACACTGCTGAGGGGAGCAACGGGCAGCAGGAGAGGTCTGCGCGCCATGTGAGACCCTCCTCCGGTTGGCCGGGGAGCAGCCAGGGATCGAACCAGCGCTGCAGAGGCTGCGGGCAGCTTCACAACCCAGCGCTCAACCACTGTGCTACCGGGGAGGTCCTGAAGATGAGCTCTTAACAGAGAATTCTGGTTTACTGCTTGATGAATAAGTAAAGTTTTCTCTTATTTAAATTGACTGTGCTGTAATCCATTTCTTTCTCACTTAAATTCTATGTATAAATATGCATAAAATGTTAGCTAATAGTTACTCTTGTTTGTACTGCATCATTTATTTTTTTTTTTTTAGTATGTGACTTCAAATAAAAGTAAAATTTACTAAGGATTAAAAGGATTAAGTAATACATTCTCATCTGACTTTCAAATTAACTAATTAAACTCCAACCTCAAAATTTTCTTTGTTTTGAATTCATCCTTTTGAGTGGTTACAGACTCACTCAAGTATACTTCTTCTGTCTTAATGCTAACAGATCAGGGACTGGCTTGCACATCTTTATAATTGTTCATTAACTGCAAGCAGTATGCTGTGACTTTTATGTCCTTGAAACTATGAAATGTTTCTGTAATTCAGTTCTTCTTAATGTTTTGACTTTAAATAGAATGTATTATGAAACTGAGATCCAAGCATTTTTAGAAATTCTGAGCTAGGGATATCAGTTTAGTCAGAACAGTGTCAAATGTGGAACCCAAACAACATAATTGGTGCTTTGAGGTTGAGGTTGATGTGACATTCTCTTGAACATATTTTAATGCTTATGCATATTTAAATTAAAAATTTAACCTCCTGACATTCAAACTAATAAGTCATTCACCATTCAACTAGAGAAGCTTGTCTGACAAAATGACACACACACAAAAAAATCACTTCTTTTGGATCTCAGCTTATTACTCAAGAAATGTTCTAAATGACTACTTGTTTGCTAACATTTTTGGAGAGGATCCTGCTACTTGCTTGCCTTTCCTGACTGATTACACAGCAAGAATTCACTTTAAACATTTTTCCATATGTTAAATGGCTGTATCTAGAAAAGATGGTTTGGTATATATTCATGAAATCCACTGAGCTGCATGATTTTACTGTTCTGTGGTAGGTAGGTCTCTTGTGAGCTCACACAATATAATCTCCTGCTTCTAATAACATTGGATGAGAGATGAGCCTGTACTAGACACTCAACCCCTTCCTATCAGAATTCCCCTGTTCAAAAACAGTATTTCTCATCTTATCCCTGTTAGATCTCCGTTGTTAACTTACAAGTATTGATGAAGGGTCCCTGCAGAGAAGTTTATTTGTGACCACAAGTGCCAGGCTGGCAGGTCAGATACTACAGCTAGTTTGGCCCCAGCTTAGAGCTGTCATAACTCATTCAATCCCCTGCATCCACAGGTATGTGTTGGTTGAGGATTCTAAATTCAAATGAAAGTGGCAGGCCCATACATAGCTTGATCACAGTAGGAGGAAGGATCATCATTCAATCATTCCATGCCACTTG